TATTATCATCACACTATTTCTGATTGGTTGACATTTATACTTATACCATTAGTACATAGAATTACATTTAATCAACCCATTTTTTTATTTTTCAGTTCTGTTCTGTTTACTTGGTACAGTCAAGGAATTACATTTAATCAACCCTTGCAACATGGAAGAGGTAGTCATTCATTCCCTTAAGAACACAAGTTAATGGTGCTTGCTAATTGATGTTTGCTGAAATTAGTATGCATGTCACTTGTTTATTCGATCGATCTTAGTTTAGGATGTGAAATGCTGAAACTGTTTGACCCCCTTAGGCAGTGTTGTTGCTTTGAATTATTTTGAAAAATTAGAATCCAAAAACCGCACAAATCCAAACCGAATCAAATCGCACTTAATTGGATCGGATCGGATCGAATTTTTTTTAGAAACATCCAAACTGATCCAAACCGCAAACATTTATACTTTTGGATTGGATGAATTTTTAACCAAAAACCGATCCAAACCGACCACGGACACCCCTAGTCTGGGCATCGAAATATATCTCCCATCCCTTTTATCTCTTCGCATCCACTCTCATCCTTTGATCCTTCGACCTCCATTGTTCGATCCATCTTCCCCTTACATTCAACCCAGATATCTCCATTCTTTTCATTCCGCTCTTTCATTTCTGCCTTTTCATTCTATCTTTTTCAATTTTTTTTATTTCAGTAATTCCTTTTAGGATTTTTTTGTGTGATCGATCATGTCGAAGGATCCTTATCTGTGTATGTTTAAAATTTATATCGAATCTGCATTGTTCAATCGAAAGAATCGTGTTTTTCTTCTGCTCTTAGGGTTTTTTGGTGATTTCTTGATTAAATTGGCTTCTTCTAATGCTTGTTCTTGTATTAAGGGAATTAGATTCGGTTGAAATGTGCTGTCTGGATGTATGTGTTATTATTCAGGGAAATAGAATACAAATTTTTTTATCTTCTCTTTTAACTTGAAACTCGGGCTTTTCAGAAATATTTTTCAAAAGGTGGAGGCGTCGGTTATAGTCTCTTTTCTGTTTTCATATAAAGATATAATCCTTGAAATTCTAAGTTATTTCTGAATCTCTGTTTCCAAGGTGGAGGCGTCGGTTATAGTCTCTTTTTCTAATTTCTGTAAGCTTAGGGGTTTATTTTGTTTACTAAATGTGAAAGTTCTGTGTATTTTTAAAGGTTTGGAAAATCAAATGGGAGTGAAGGTAGAACACTGATGTCACTGTTCTGGATTGTGATTCGTCGACTAGCTGAAATCGAAGAAAGAATGGTATTTTTCTTTTATTATTATGATTAATTTTGATTTGATAATCAGGGATAATTTGATTGTTTACTTTGTTTAAGAATTTGAAGTTGTAATTTGTAGCTCAAAAGTCAATTCAAAGCTCTACATATCAATAAGGAAAGATTTTCTGTATTGGATTTGGTAAATTTGGTTGCGGCAAAGAATTGATTTTTCTGTGGTTGAAATCTAGAAAACACGGGGTGTTAGTCTACTCTTTATCTATGAATTATTTCTAGTTTGAGTAGAATATAGTATGTTACCTTCAACATACCAACACAACTATACTGATCATTGAATCAAAGCCTAGGAAATAAACAAGAATAAATAGAAGCAAAAATCAATAGAGACAATATCATGTAGTATATTTTATTCTACAAAACACATAAGCAAAAGGGTTTGAATAACTAGAAATTACCGGTTTGACATGAGCGACTGGTGGAGGATTTGTAGTCCTCAATTTCTCAACAGATTGATAATTACCTTCCTAACATTCTTCGTGCATAATCATTAACTTCTCTGCCACCTGTAACAAGTCGTTTTTTTGGTGTACCGGTAGGAGAAAGTTTAAAATTTGAGGTTATTGGCTTATAACTATGACAACAATTCAAACTGATTCTTAACTCAGTTTTTGTAACACAATTTGCAGGTCAAGGATTTGACGGGAAAACTTCAAGAGATGACAAATTTTTGTATTGGTAAGCATGACATAAAGATTTTGTTAGTTGAGTATTTATCATCTCTTTTAAAAAATTTATTGATAATCTATTTATATCATTTATGATATTGATCTCTAAAAGCCTCCCATTATAATATCGGGAGTTCTCACAGGTTTTCTTATTCGCAGAAATTGACACCGACTCCTTGCTAAAAAAATGAGTTGGCAACTCTAGATGAGACTTTGAGAACTGCCAATAATGTTGTTATACTTGTCATAAATGCCATATCAGTTGTCATAAGTGTCAGCATTTCTTTTGCCTTGTTGGGTTGGCTCTGAATTTTATGCCATGCTTATATCATTGGTAAGCTCTGGGAATTCTCCAGGAGATGCAAAGAAAACTCATTGATGCAGTTCGTGATAATATTAAGGTGTTTGGAGTTTCAGAAGTTATAAATGTGAGTTGACCTGACATTGCATTTTGTTCTAGTTACTACCCATGATTTTATTATTACTCAACCCTTTATATTCTGTTCTTAAATGCTACTGACACTTTTTTCTCGACATCGGTTGAAATTTGAGGGACTTAGACATGCATGCTTTCTTGATCCAAAATTATAAGATTTCATTGCTTATCCCTCTTTTGCATTTCCTTAACTTTTCTAAGAATACAAACTTGCTCAGATTCTTGGGAAGTACAAAGATGCAAAACTTAGATTTGGAGTTGGTTACAACATCAGAACTTCAATTTCGCAAGCTATGCATGACTGCCCTTTTATTGGTGCAGGGGTAAAGGTATTATTAAGAAAATTTTAATGCAGATGTGAACATAAGTTTCATTTGAAATGTTGAGATATATGTGCATGCATGACTTTTTACTTTATGTTGTTTAAGTGCTCATTCACCCTATTTCCTTGTCGGTTCAAACTTCAAACATAAATGTTTTTCCGATTTTCTTTGTACGGGGCAACCTACTCCTTTTATTTGTTGCATGTGTCACATTAAAGTTTTGACCATTTCATTTTTGGACGTAGGAACTCGATGGCATAGTTATATGTGTTGTTGCAAGTTCTAATGTTATCAGCGATGACGATTTGCAAGCCTTTTTGCATACATTCCGTCAAACTACAGAGTACCCAAAGGACATTATTATATCTGTATTTCATGATCCTAAGCTGGAGCCCAACCTTCTAGTCACAACAGTTGTTATCTTGGGGTAAGAATTCTAACTTCTAAAAGTAAGATGGCAACCAATACATTATTAAATTTTTTCTTTATGATGACATTTTTTACATTCTTATGTAGAATATATTTTAGTTTTCATGGTTCCTGACTTCCTGTTTTTGTTGTTTGTTGCAACATCTTTTTTCAGTTCTCAATCACTCACATGTATGTTATGAATGCAAGTTATGCTGGTTGTTTCCTTTTCTTCTTAGTCTCATCTAAATTATTGTAATTGCAGTAATCTTGAAGAACAAACTTCAACAAAAAGCGGCTTCTTCAATAGACTGGCACAACGTTTCCCATTTGTTTTTAATCTATTGAGGAGAGATCATTCACTGTCAAATGATACTTTCAAATAAGATGTCAAGACGATGAATATGACAAATTCCAATGAAGTGGGAAACAAAGTAGCTTTAGAAGGCATATCTGGAGGTTATGATGATGACGCTAGTGAAATTGAGGATGTATCGAACAACAAATCCATGTATATCTACACTTTGAGGTTCAATTGTAACTCATTTGTACTTTAATGTCTTTTAAGGTTCTCTCTCCATAAAAAAACTTTAATTTATTTTGTTGTTAAGTATTTTTCTTTATGTTTTTTGTCTCAATTAAAATGTATGGTTGTTGTTAATTAGATAAAGCTAGATATAAATTTAGGTGATGTATAACATAAATGAAATATGCAAAATCAATTAATATTAGCTAAAGAAAGATAATTAGCGGCGTTTATATCCAAAAACGCCGCTATAGGTCTGCCTTTTTGCGGCGTTTGTGTTCAAAAACGCCGTTATAGGTCTGACCTTTTGCAGCGTTTGTGTCCAAAAACACCGTTATAGGTCTGACCTTTTGCGGCGTTTGTTCTAAAAACGCCAGTATAGGTCTGCTCTTTTGCGGCGTTTGTATCAAAAAACGCCGCTATAGATCTGACCTTTTGCGGTGTTTTTTCTAGAAACGCCGCTATATATCATAACTTTTTGCGGCGTTTGTTCCAAAAACGCCGCTATAGATATCGACCTTTTGCGACGTTTGTTCAAAAAACGACGTAATAGATATTGACCTATTGCGGCGTTTTTTGTTCTCAAACGCCGCTAACTTTAGCGGCGTTGATATTGCTGGCGCTTCTTGCGGTGTTTTTCCTATCGCCGCAAATACTTTTAGTGGCGCTTAAAAACGCCGCTATAAGACTAAAAACGCCGCTAAAACTCTGTTTTGCTACAAGTATATGACTTTAATTCTATGAGAAATCAAGTTTTAGAAGTTATGAATTTTAGCAAAAAAAGGACGATTGAATTGAATTGAATAATACGTTTATATTATAATGTCAAATTTGTTAGGTGACGTGAGGCCTGTTTTTCTGAAAAATATATAGTTGGGCGACTTGTCGTTTTCAAGCAAAAATGAGCACACGTTCATTCGATTTGGTTTTATAGATCAATATTTAAAAAGTATTAAATTTAAGAAAATTTCTTGAATTTAGGTAAAATAAATTCAAACCAACTTAAGTAATTACCTCATATAATTATAAGAATCTAAAACATATTATCTCCTAATCTTATTAAGAAAAAGTTGGATTAGAATACGTAAGTCAAGATAGATAAAACATCAGCCATATATTTTCGAATCAGATTAAAATAAGAATAGAGAATTTTCATCAAATACACTGAACAAAATAAAAGCTGGGAACTCTCAGCAAAAATTGTTACCAATTGGCTAACTTCTTATCGGATAATTCATCTGATCATATTCGTCAACTACGAATATTCAAACCCTATATTTCGTTTATAAAATGCCATGCAATATGTTCAAGATTCATCACCAAGCAGCCATGGCTTCCCTTTTCCCATCTTCATCGTCCACCACCTCAACCACCATTCCCACGTCGATCACCTCTTCCTTCTTTCCGAAAAGATCCCAACTTTCCATAATCAGGAACCCAAAGCATGGAGTTTCATGCAAAGCCGTTAATGGCGACAAATTTGATCGAAGAGATGTCCTCATTGGCCTCGGTGGTCTTTACTATGGAGCAACTACCCTCGGAGATGCAATGGCTGCACCGGTTTTGGCCCCGGATTTCGAAAAATGTGGCCGTGCGGATGTACCCGAAGGCGTTGGATTGACCGATTGTTGCCCGCCAGTTTCGCGAAAGATCGTCGACTTTAAACCGCTGTTGTCGAATTCACGGTTACGAGTCCGACCGGCAGCGCATTTAGTCGACGACGAGTACGTGTGGAAATATTCCAAGGCGATCGAGCTTATGAAAGCTCTACCGGATGATGATCAACGTAACTTCATGCAACAAGCTAATGTCCATTGTGCTTATTGTGAAGGTGCTTATGATCAAGTGGGGTTCCCTAATCTTGAGCTCCAAGTTCATAGTTCATGGCTTTTCTTCCCCTTCCATAGATATTATTTGTACTTTTTCGAGAGAATTTTGGGTAACTTGATTGATGATCAGACGTTCGGCTTGCCGTTTTGGAACTGGGATTTACCGGCCGGTATGCAAATGTCCCGCATGTATTCGGATCCGAACTCGAGCTTATACAATGAGCTACGAAACTCACGGCATTATCCACCAACAATGGTGGACCTCGGTTTCAATGGCAACGACGTAACAACAACAAACAAAGCACAAATACAAAGCAATCTTAGAATCATGTATAGGCAAATGTTTTCAAATGGCAAAACGCCTAGTCTCTTCCTCGGTGGACCTTTCCGAGCAGGCGACGAGCCGTATGGAGGCTCGGGTTCGGTTGAAAACGTGCCACATGGACCTGTTCATGTATGGTGTGGTGATGATAAGCAACCAAATGGTGAAGACATGGGAACATTTTACTCTGACGCGAGAGATCCTATTTTCTACGCTCATCACTCGAATGTGGATCGGACGTCGAGTATCTGGAAGACAATCGGAAACCGGAATCGAAAAGATTTCAACGACCAAGATTGGCTTAACTCGTCGTTTCTCTTCTACGACGAGAATGCGAATCTGGTCCGTGTTAAAGTCCGAGATTGCCTCGACCATCGACGCTTGGGTTACGTTTATCAAGATGTTGAGATTCCATGGCTGAAGGCAAAGCCAACGCCTTCCCGGAAGCAGCCATCAAAGGGCGGTCCAGGGATTGCATTAGCAGCAGAAATCAATGAACAAAAGCTCGTTTCCGGCAATGAATCATTCCCGGTCGTTTTGGATAAAACCGTGAGGGTAAACGTGGAAAGGCCGAAGAAATCGAGGAGCAAGAAGGAAAAGGAAGAGGAGGAGGAAATACTGGTGATTGAGGTGGAGTTGAAGGGAGATTTGTTCGAGAAGTTCGATGTTTATGTGAACGTGGAGGATGAAGCGAACATCGGACCCGACAACACTGAGTTTGCGGGGAGTTTTGTGAATGTTCCACACAAGCATAGACATGGGAAGACATTGAAGACATGTTTGAGATTGGGGTTAAGTGATCTGTTGGAAGATTTGGGAGCTGAAGACGATGATAGTGTTATGGTTATTTTGGTGCCAAAATGCGTGAATGGAAATGTCAAGATTGATGGCATCAAGATTGAGTTTGATAATTAATCACTTGTTATTGCTCGCTTGGAATTTGAGAAAAATCGTTGTTTTTTCTCTGGGGAAGATTGTTGATTTTTCTTAGTTATCCTACATGTTACATGTAGAAAATTCAATTAAAATTTCATATTACTTAATATACTTGTAACATATTTCAAACAAATAGTTTTTTATTTGTTGAATCAATTTTTTTAATAGATTTGTTGAATTAAATTTAAAATCTTACCATTTATATAAAATTATTTGACGTCTATTTAAAATAAATATGACAAAAAATAAATAAATATGACATGCCGATGAATTTAAATTGTTAATACAATTAAAACTAAATTATATATATGAGGTTAGGATTTACTTACACCTAGTTAAGATTAAACTAAAAGTTTCATATATTTTCAGGATATTTGGATGATGAAAAATCAAAATGTGAGATTAACTCTTTGTTTTATGTTTTTATAGTGAATATATTTTCATTTCCTACTGTTATTTTCAGCCTTTGATATTTTCTCATCCAACTATCCTAAAAGTTATAAAACTTTTTATTTTTACACTATGTAAACAGATCATGTCCCATATATATATATATATATATGTGTGTGTGGGGGGACACCTTTTTAAGACCGTTGAATTGAAGGAAATCAAATGCTGAGATTACTTCTTCTTTCAGCGAATATACTCATTTACTATTGTTAATCTAAGTCTTTAATTTCTCTCATAAATAGTTCTTAAAAGGTATAAAACTAAAAAAGTTTTGGAAAATAAATATGTGTACCAATGTAAAAAAATGAAAGCAGTCAGCAAAATAGTATGTTATGTATTATAAGTACATATGTGGTTGTGTTCAGGTTTGAACTACCATACAGTTCCAACTTCCAACATGACGGTTTATATATAAATGCTTAACTCCAGGATATGTCAAGAAGATACCTTCAAGAGAAATTTTTGACAAACAAGCTTTCTCCAAAATCAGCAAAGCTATCCATTTCGGGCTTAACTCGGGCCTTTTTAAATCACTATCATCCCCACATTATGACTTCATTTCGTTGCAACTAACAAGAATGTCTTCAACTTTGGAAATAATGGCAGCAGAGCTCGAATCCAACACTTCAGTTGTATTCCGTGGGATGCCGACATCCTTGTGTAATGCCAAAAGCTTATAACCTATTTTTCCAGCTGTTTTCGTTTCTTTAGCAGTGGGGATGACTGGCTTCAGCAATTTAAGTAGAAAGAGAATGCAACTAGGTGATTTCAGGAGACTCTCATCTTGACCCTGACATAATAAATTCATAGAAATATTGGCTTTACGTCTTTGCCAACATAGAAATTGTACCTATTAGTTATCTCTCTCAATGCGAACGTCATTCCTACCCTTCCTCAAACCCTCTCCCTCCGCTCTCCTCCCATTTTATCATCGGTACGAGAGTTTTATAGAAGCTTTCATCATTTTCTTTAAGACGTTTCTTTTCGATATAATTTGCTTTTGTTTATTATTTTGTCATTGTTGCATTTCATCAAATACATTGAATTCTATTATGTTAATAGAATCATTAGTTGCCTTCAGTTCCAAAGTTTTACTCTAGATTGATCCGGGTCTGACTTTTGTGGGTGAGTCTCTCAGCAGAAATTTTCTACATTCACAAGGACTCGAACTTGAGATATTGCATAATCCATATCAAGCTCTTTAAGTTTATTTTTATAAAAGTATACTCATTAAACGACCTTAATGATTATTAGTCAAGAGATTTATTGTTATCATTTGATATTTCATAGTCCAACACCATATATGTAAGGGTATGGGCACTCGTTATCAGAAAGTTGAAAATCTTTTTGAACGGATACTATATTATATTATATTTCACTCTAAATTTATTAAAAAAATATAATTAAATGACATAATTGATAAAATTTATAGATAAGTAAACAAAATAGAACTTCCCCTATATTTATTAACTATACAAGTAATTTACGCTTACATTAATTAATGATTCAATTTATTAATAATAAATCAGGTTGCATAAAATTCTGATTCTGCCAAAAATAAATAAATAAATAAAGCATTCTCCATTTCAATTACTTCCTCTGTTTTCTTAGACAAAGATGGCGTCATTTGATGCGTTCGGAATGGAAGGTGAAGAGATTCACACTGCTCCCAATAACCATCCTTTTGAAGTCGATAAGGAGAGCTACTCCGATTACGGTGCTTACTCCAACTTCACCGGCAACGATCAGAATTTTCCTATGGATGGTGGCAATGTGGCGGTAGATGTCGGTTCCTCTGCTGACATTTTCGGTTTCGGATCGTCCGATCCCACGCCTGCATACTCGCAATCTCCTTTCGGTACTGCGATTCCTGTTGAGAACGGAAATGGAACCAATGGATTTGGCGTCGGAAACGGTGATGTTTTCACTTCTGATGGACCGGTGCTCCCTCCTCCTACTGAGATGGAGCCTGAGGAAGGCTTCGTTCTTCGCGAGTGGCGGTGGTGAGTAGTGGTTACTGAATCGCTATATTTGTTGGCTTTTGTTGTGTGGATTTGACCAGATCTGTTGGTTTAGCAATGCTTCTCAGCTTAGATCCGCAGTGCTTTCGATTCGTATGCATAAATTCTGCTTTTGCATTAGTTGAATCAATATTTACTCTTAATACAAATTTCTTAAGGATCCTTTCGTGTTTTTTTGATCTGCCATGGTTTTAACTATTGCGTCAATTAGCCTATTGTTTGTTCGTTTCATTTACGTTAGCTATGAAATCCAGATTCATGATCTCTCTAATTACTAGTTGAGGTTTCTAGTGTTCGATTTATGTTAGTTGGCTTTGATAAAAAAAAATTAGGAATCCTTTAGACTGTAATTTTAGCTTCTATGATCGCATGCCATTAGCCATAGATTTTTACAATAATTGATGTAGAAGATCCAGATCCCCATTGAAGTTCCCAACCAGGAGACGTTGGAATAGCATTGGAATACTGTGTCATTTTATTGATATCATAAATTAATAGCCATAGATTCTATGGTTTGCATGTGGGCCTAATTAGTGTAGAAGATATATTGAAGCTGAGAAAAAATTAACGCACAACTCAATGGGCAATAACACATTGGGTGATCGAAAAGGTAAAAGAGTAAGTGGTTGTCAAGACTTGTGCTCGAAAAGTCGAAAGCTCTTGTATAATGTTAAAAGCTTGAGCTATATGAACCTCTTCGTTACTTTTAGTTCTAGAGACGATGCTTTGTAATGAACTACAACATTTGCAGCAGTTATTGGTTTCTAGATGTAAAATTTCCCTTTCCCAAGTGGTTTATGTCCTATTCGTCCATTGTTGAGTCTTTTCATAGCTGATTGTGCGTGATAGTTTAATGACATTATAGAACACTTGGTTGTGTTCGTCTTCAAAACATCTATGAAATATACGAGTAACTTATCCTATGTCAATTCTATAGTTTCTTTGGCTGTTCATAAATCATACGTGTGTATGTGTGTGTTTATTATACATCTATGGATTCCATTACTTGTTAGTTGGCAGCCAAAAGAATTTATTTGTTCATATTTGATTTCTTGCTGCAGTCAAAACGCAATCGTGCTCGAGGAAAAGGAGAAGAAGGAGAAAGAGTTGAGAAGCCAGATTATTGAAGAAGCCGAGGAGTATAAGCAAGCATTCTATGAGAAAAGGGGAAAGACAATCGAGACCAACAAAACTGATAACAGAGAAAGAGAAAAGGTAGCGTCTCTCATATTCAAATTCATGCAATTAATCATAGATTCAATTAGTGTTCGCAACTCTATATTACGATTGTTAAATGGTGGTTTCAACTCTCTGCCATCGCTATTTACCAGAATTGACTGCAATGACATTTATCATGTCTGCAAATTTGATAAACATGATGTGATGAGAAACCGTCTTCAACTGCAGTTTAGATATTTGATGTTGATACTTGATATTTTGGACTCGGATCAGGTGTACTTGGCTAACCAAGAAAAGTTCCATAAGAACGCGGACAAACAGTACTGGACAGCTATTGCAGAACTCATTCCTCGTGAGGTCCCTAATATCGAGAAGAAAAGAGGGAAGAAAGACAAAGAGAATAGGCCCTCAATAACTGTCGTCCAGGGACCGAAGCCTGGAAAACCAACTGATCTTTCAAGAATGCGGCACGTTCTTGTGAAGCTTAAGCATGCTCCCCCTCCTCACATGCTTCCGCCGCCTCCGACGAAGGACAGTGAGGATGGAAAAGATGCTGTTCCAACTTGATCGGTATCCACAGAGCAAGTGGCACCAGCAGAGAATGGTTGTGCCTCTGAACACGATGCTACGGCTACTAAGGACGAATCCGCCACAGAACCAGAAGCAACATCAACAGCCTGATTGTTTGCAATACATTTACCAAGGTTCATTCTTCCCCCAATTTTTTTTCTATTTTCCTCAAGATTTTGATTCTTTATCGCATTCCGTATTACCATAGTATTGGTTCTCCGTACATTTCATAGAATTGGTGGTTACATTTCAAAATATCATTTTATGTTGATTGTTTTTTTAACTTTTTGGGCTTATTGTGTTTATGCAATTCCCTGCCTTTTCAGTTTTCTCAAGTGGTTCGGTTAATTCAGTTTTCGTGATCAAGTCAGCTTTCTCGATCAATTTCTAAATTTCATAATTGAATCGATTAATGTATGAGATGATTATGAAACTCGTCCAATCAGATTGATGTAGAGATGGTACTTACCTTTCACAAAAATCTACTGGACGAGAGTCCCAAAATGTATGTGCTTTATTTTTCTGAAAGGTGGGAGAAAAGATACAACTTTTTTATTAATTTATTTAAAATTTGAGTTTGAAACTCATGGATCAACCCCTTTTAGTTAACTCGGGACAAATCGATAGATCTATAAGAAATCTTATTTAATTGGATATATGGTAGGGTAAAAGAACGGGACATAATTGGTTAAATCTATTAATTTTGAGAATCAACTTAATTGTTTGGTCACCCGTCAAAAGCATTGGTTCCTCCGACTATACAAAGATCTCTTCACACAAACAAAAAGATGGTACTCTTGCGCACTACAAATTTTCGAGTAATCAAGAAACGAGATTTGGGAGATGGATGTGTCGGTTCATATCCAAAGACAAAACCCGAGTTAAATAAACTCAACATTGTCGCATTTGTACCGAGATTTTGACACCGTAATTCATATTATATTTATAAGCATACGATTAATAGGGGGAAAATGCAAAATAAGACGCTCAAAGTTGGTTATTAATGCAGATGTTATTATCAACTTTTAAGTAGTTCTTTTAGGGAGTACAACATGTACTTATTAAGATAAATGAAAAAACTTGCCATTAATATTAAGAAATGAGTTTACGAATTGATACATTTATTTTTTATAGAATTTGATCAAAATCCCTTTCTTTAAAACAAAAATCAGAGAAGCAAATCGGGTGAAAATATGCTAAGCGGGAACTCTTCATTTGTTTATTGCGATATTGAGAGAGTGAGAATGGTTTGTATATATATATTTTACAATATTGGTAAAGAAAGGTACACAAAAGTTGAATATTAGCAATACATAACAAATAGTACAAATATGCATAATTGTTAATGTTGTCCGGGTTCTACTTCTACCCTTGGTCTATGAAATGAGAGCAACAACTCTTATCGGCAGTACACATCGACTCTTCGACCATACAATTCATAGTACAATACAAGCAACACTCTCGTATCCATCGTCGAGTGTCAACAATACAAAATCAAATGAAAATCATAAGATTACAGAGAATCCCCCCTTTGTTTACATAGGGGATTCTAAATGAAGAGAGAGAATGCTGACCGGACTTCGATCACGTTCCCTTCTTCTTTTGGTCTTTAGGTGGTTCCTTTGTAAGCATTCTCGGAGCAATTGCCATTGCCATTAGCTCTTGGAAGAGCAGTTTACAGGCATAAGGAATGTGCACCTGCAATAAGCATCATTGTTATAACCACGATTCCCGATAACAAGAACATTAGCAAATGTATGTTGAAGCTTTGACATCTACAACCGTGGAATGGAACAAGGGAAAGAAAAGGCTTACCTGAACAATATCGGTTTTGTTCTTGCATCCTCTGCACTCGAACGAGTTTTTCTTTAGATTGGCAATGGCGATCAGCCCACACCGCTCGCAAACGTGGACTCTGTATGCATCACTTTGGTCAAACAATCTCTCCTTGAGGAAATGGGAAGCACCATGTGCAATCATGCAATCTCTTTCCATCTCTCCGAAACGAAGACCACCGTCACGCGATCGACCTTCTGCGGGCTGCCTTGTTAGAATCTGGACAGGACCCCGACCGCGTGAATGGATCTTATCGTCGACCATGTGCTTTAGTCTTTGGTAATATGTTGGCCCCAAGAATATCATGGCAGTAAGCCGCCTGCCTGTGTGCCCATTATACATGGTCTCGTAACCACGCATTTGATACCCACATTTATGAAGCGCTCTGCTGATATTATCCACCTATAACATCAAACCGAAAGGATTAAAATGCATCTATCGTCTCTAAATGTTATACTTCATCCATGAATAGTCCCAAAACAGGTATAAGCATTTAATGTAGTCCAAGAACATCAAAGAAACTTAATTAATTCAAGAAAACATCTAATTAATCAAAATCCAAAAATTAAGGATTGCAACTTACAGTGACATCAGTAAAGGGAGTAGCATCCCTTCCTTTCCCATGTGAGCTGCAACTTTCCCCATGATACACTCAATAAGCTGACCGATTGTCATTCGGGAAGGAATAGCATGCGGATTCACGATGATATCAGGTGAGATGCCTTCCACAGTCCAAGGCATGTCTTCCTGGGTGTAAGTCATGCCAATCGTTCCCTTTTGACCATGCCGACTGCTAAACTTGTCTCCAATCTGGGGAATCCGAACCGATCTTACCCTTACTTTCACAAATCGCAACCCATCAGCATTTGTTGTGAGTAGAACCTAAACAAGAATAGAAACGGTCAGCACAATGACAAGATCACCAAAGCACAAGCACCTAATCCATTTGCACGGATTAACATCGTGACAGACGTTAGTGCACAAACATCAACTAAAAACTGTTAGTAAAAGGAAGTTGAAAAGTATTTACTTGGTCCACAATTCCTGTTTCACTGTGCCGTAAGCTTATACTGTGATCACGTTTTGTATAGCGTGATGATTGACCCTGAGCTTCCTCCTGTGAAATAGGTGTGGTCTTTCCTATGATTACGTCCTCACCTGAAACTCTTGTTCCCTAACGGGCAACAATAATTTAATTTCAGGAAGGTGTAAGTCAACTAATTTTGTACGCAATGCAATGAACATAGCATTACGCTAATTTTGCACTTACAGGAGGTGCAAGACCATCATCATCCAATTTATCATAAGAGCCATGCCTCATTCCCTGCAAAAAGCAAATTGTGTCATATGGCAACACTGGCAAACAAGAAGTAGAAATCCATTTCTCACGCCTCCTATTGGTTTCACATTTGAACCATTCGTTTCTTTTAAATTAAATTACTAGTATTTAGCTTTATATTATAGCAGTTTTTGAAGAAGCAAAAAACAACAAAATAGTGAAGCCATGCTCGATTCTCACCATAGTAGTAGCCCTATCTGGTCGGCCAAAATCTTCTTTGACAAGGGTTCCCATTTTTTTCTCCTCGTCACTGCAAAGTACAACAAACATTAATGTGGAGTAACGAGAGCTCAAGTATGGGATCCAAAAGACTCGTATCTAAAAAAGTAGCAAAAGGAATTATCAAGAGAATATTACCGGTAAGAACGGAAGAAAAGTGATCGGAAGAACCCTCTGTCTATTGATGATTGATTCATGATAACAGAATCTTCTTGGTTGTATCCAGAATAGCAGGCAATCGCCACGATAGCATTCTGAGGAAACGAGGCAAAGAAACAATTGTAAGGGTATAGCAAAAATTGAAGTAATTACGGAAATAGAAAATAGAACTTCAACTTTACAATGCCAGCAGGTAGCTGCCGAAAATGTAGATGTTCCATAGCTCGTGTGGTAACCAGTGGCTTCTGGGGATAGTAGAGAACATAGGCCAATGTATCCTGAGTAACAAATGGAAGGATAAATCATGATTTTTCCCAGGTATGACATCGTTATAATAGTTTATGTAAATAGGAGGTAATACATACCATTCGAAATTGGTAGTTGGTGACATATATACCCATTGCTTGCTTACCCATAGCAGATTGATAGGTATTACGTGGGGACTGATACAATGGATAATAAATAAGTAAAATAGAAAAGAAATCTAAACAAATGCAATCAGTTAACGTTCATCATTAGCATACAAATACCTGATTATGATCAGGGAATGGTATAATTGAAGCACAAACACCCAAAATCAACGAAGGATGGATTTCACAATGGGTATAAGTTTCCGAATAAGCTTCCTCTGGATTGACTCTTGCTTGGACAAGATCCTGGAACAAAGTTGAAGCAGTTATATTTCTGATATTGCCTTACAGCCTCCCTAGAAGCTAAGGTGCATTTACAATTTACTATTATTCTAGATTTTGACCAATAAGACTTGCTTCTCACATTGATGGTCATGGAAATCATTGTTGTCTCCTCTTCTTCAGTGTCGATATATTCAATAAATCCCTTTGCTACAAGATCATGCCAACCACCATCTTCTGGGCTTTCCTGAAAGAAGAAAACCAATGAGATAAAGCTATGTTTGAGAAAATATGGAAGGTTACAAGTGACACACCCTTTGTTGCAGTGCATGGATATCTTTCTTTTTTATTAGAAGCCTTTGCTTCTCCACAATGAACAATGGCCTACTGCAACGACCATAGTCTGTATATATTCTAAGTTCTTTTAAACGAATATCTCGAACAACACCAACTTCAGTGTTGACATCAACCTACACATAAAAAATCCATCATTAACCAAACACATAAACAGCCTCTGTTGCTCAAACACAGAAAATGGGAGCCACGCAACACCCATGTTGGCCTACGTTATTCAGACTCGGGTGTACGTACACGGGTATGGCTAGCTTCTTCCAACTTTTTCTATATATTTAAAAGACCTTGGAGGTCATATCCCCGCATCCAAGTGTCGGACACAAATGCTTCATGAAAGTTGGCGGGAGGAAAAGAGGAACTAAACCAGAGGAAGGAAAAGAAACAGAAGAATGGCGGCAGGAAAGAGGAAAAAGTCTGATGGAAGTCTCAAACACAAAGAAATAAAATAACGTGCACAGAGAAGTTCAAAAAAAATAAAAGAGAAAAATACTTAAAGAGAGCATCAGGGATCAGGCCTTAGTATCAATATCAATTAGTCTTGAATTAGGTTTGAAGGCCCAAAATAAACCAAATGATAAATATTTAAAAAAATAATTTATGTCATCTTTTAAAAACTTATAAAAACTATA